ATATATACATATACAACACACAGCTAATCAGCCAATCACATGGCAGCAGCTCAATGCCTTTAGGCCTCTAGACGTGGTGAAGACGAGCATCAGAATGAGGAAGAAAGGGGACTTAAGTGACTTTGAACGTGGTATGGTTGTTGGGGCCAGACGGGCTGGTCTGAGTATTTCAAACTGCTGATCTACTGGGATTTTCACCCACAACCGTCTCTAGGGTTTACAGAGACTGGTCTGATAAAGAGAAGGCTCACCAACATGTGACAACAGAAGATTGAAAAACGTTGCCTGGTCTGATGAGTCTTGATTTCAGCTGCCACATTCAGATGTGGGGTCACAATGTGTCGTAAACAACATGAAAGCATGGATCCATCCTGCCTTGTATCAACGGTTCAGGCTGGTGTAATGGTGGGGGGGATATTTTTTTGGCACACTTTGGGCCCCTTCGTACCAACTGAGCATGGTTTAAACGCCACGGCCTACCCGAGTATTGTTGCTGACCGCGTCCATCCCTTTATGGCCACAGTGGACCATCTTCTGATGCTACCTCCAGCAGGATAATGCACCATGTCACAAAGGTCAAATCATCTCAAACTGGTTTCTTGAACATGACGATGAGTTCACTGTTCTCCAACGGCCTCCACAGTCACCACATCTCAATCCAGCAGAGCAGCTTTGTGATGTGGTGGAACGGAAGCTTCTCATCATGGATGTGATGCCATCATGTCAACATGGAGCGACATGTGTGAGGAACGTTTCCAACACCTTGTTGAATCTCTGCTACCAACAATTAAGGCAGTTCTGAAGTGAAAAGGGTCCAACCCGGTACTAGCAAGGTGTACGTAATAAAGTGGCCGGTGAGTGTGTATATATATATATATATATATATATATATATATACATATATATGAATTAGTTATGAAACAAGTGCAGTGGAATGAAATGTACAGTAGTTCTTGCTGACATGTAGTGATAATAATTATTGACGTACCCGCAAACATTGTTTTTGTCACGTATGAAAATATAATAATAATAAAATAAAATAAGGAACTAAGATCACCAGATGCGTTTTCCCTCTCGGGGCTTCTGTAGTTATGCATTAGGAAAGCATGTTTCTGTTATTTATATGAATATTAAATGTGATTGATCAGTTTCCATATGTGACACTCACAAACCTCCTCAGAGTTCATGCTGCCGAGCAGGAACAAGGACACATACAGGTAACCGGTGTCTGACAGCAGAGCAGCAGAGATGAGGGGCACCATCACATTCATCTATAAACATCAGATTTATTTGCTCAGCTTTGATCTTCTGTAACAAATCGAACAAAGCGATGCGTAAAACAAGTTTCAACAGAAACTTTGTCAACATATTTGAAATGTCCAGGTGAGGCTGTAAATATTACAAACACACGGAGCTGTTACGGGTGATTTCAAACGAGAGTGTTAAAGTAACGTTCACTTAAGAGACACACATTTGGCAGTTCAGTGCTACACAGACCTGAGATCTTTAAAAATCCCCCCCCCCCCCCCCACACAAAGACATGGCTTCAATGACTTGGCAGAATCATGCTGCTGCTGGTCCCCCTCTACCCCTTTACACTGACCCACATTGAACATGATTAATTGAGGCAATATACAACACGTAAGAACACAACTGCAAGGATGGAGGTCTTCAAACCTCAAGGTCAGAATAAACTGAACTAAAGTGAGCACGCCCGCCTTGTTGCAAACACGTGGCGCGGGGAAACTGTGTGGACGCAACTTGACTACAGAAGGTGGAAGTGGAAGCAGGTCTGCTCGTTTCCAACCGGAGCGCAGTTTGTGATGACGGACGGAACTTCAATTATAAAAGTCACATTCATGATTGTTAATATTATATGCAATCATCAACTAAGTTAATGATTTGTTAGTTAGCATTGAAAAATACTTTCATCACGTTTTACCGGCGTGTTGGTGCATACCTTTCTGTGCTTTTGTTACAGCCACGTCTGCACTAACGAGAGAGGCAAGTTGGTAATGAGGTTCATTACATGTTACATGCTGAGTATAACTGAAATAAAGTAGAAAAGTGACTTCAGTATTGTGCAGATCTGCGTCAGGTGCGTTTGCAACGACCACTGCTGTAATGTTTGAAAGTGAAAGTCAAGTTTAAAGTGTATCTACGCGTTATTCTCTCCCACGTCTCACAAACAGACTCACTGAGCAACACTTCATGTTGACCGTCAGTCTTGCTGTGTGCTTAGCTCCGTTAGCTCTGTTGGCTAACAGCTAGGTAGCTCTCCTGCTACCGACGCGAGAAGAGGTGCTCCGTTGTTGTCGGCGCCTGTTTTTGTTTCAAACTCGACGGAAACAAAACAAAACTCTCCAGAGCTCTCGGTTAGTTATTCCAACAAACACCAGCTGTGGTTTGTTCACAATAAATCCTTAATTCACAGAGTTAGATGTGAAAATATGCTGGCTCTACACGCTGGCCATTTAGCAAAATAAAAACAAATTGAACCAACCGGCGATACTGCCCAGCGGCTGCTAATGGCTAAGACCGAAATGAGGAGACACGTTCTTTTGTAGTCAGCGCTCGGTTGAGTATGTAGTCTGCTAACCGAGCCCCGTTTTAAACACCCACTGCTGTCATAATTTATTCAAAGTGTGCAAGCGGAAGTAGTCGTTGATCACCTGCGGCCCCTACCGGACAGTTAAGAGTAACAGTCAATAAAATGTCACCATCACTTTTTTTTCGGGACACAATGAGTGACCCACATCCCATAATAATTAGGTCAGATTTAGAGTGATTTCTGTTATTGCAGATGTCAATGTGACTCACTCTGGCTCCCTACAGTACACACTCAGATGTCTTTGAAGGCACAGAGCTGCACCCTCTCCCGGCTGTAGAGAGCCAGGAGGGCCGGGTCTCTGAGCACGCTCAGCTCATGCTGTCTGTCGGCTGACCGGGAGAAGTCGTCGGGGCCCTCTCCGCAGCCTCCTTCCTGGGGTCCACTCGGGTAGCCCGGGTGCACCATGAGCTCCGCTGTGACCACGGGCTGGTTAGGGCCCCAGGCACCGCCGGAGGTAGAGGCTGAAGAGGGCTCCGCAGCCAAGGCGTGGCCGAGGGCCCTCTGCAGGTTGGGTACGGACATGTTCCGGCCCATGGTGGTCAGCCCCAGGTACACGTCTGGCCACCTGTGCACATAAAAAACAGTTTCTGTCAGTCATCGACCAGGAGGGACAATCCTTCCACTCACTACAGCAGCGGACTGACACGCATCGTCATGACCGACATAACATGGACTTTTAAATCTGGTTCACACTGAACTTATCAAACATTCACATGATACTTGATGGTCAGCAGCATTACCAATTCTCCTCAAACACCAGTCGGTATCTGATATGAATCTCAACTCATCCGAAAATATGTTAGAAAAGGCTCAGTCCAGGTTGTGAGTTTGTTTACCTTGTTTCTGTTGTTGTATGTTAAAACAGGCATTTGATATGGTTTAGTGTACGTATATTGTATATATATTATATTATAGTTTACTGAATAATAATGCATCATATTTTAATTGTCAAATCTTAATCAATGCAAGCATATCTGTCAGGTAAATGTAGTACTACAATATATCACTTGTAATCGTCTCTTTCTGTTATTTGTCCCGGTGCAGGGAGACTACTTTTATTGGTTTTACTGGCACGCATCCATAAACTCCTAAAACCGTCCTACGGTCTCCTTTGTGCAAAGACACGGCTTGTACTGTTCTGGAAAAAGAAAGACGTTTAACTCCTGCAGGGCTTTGAAAGGATTTGGAGTCCCATGATCTCCTCTACAGAAGGGACGGACAGTTAGGATGCATGATGTTTGGGGGGGGGGGGGTGTGTGTGTGTGTAACATTTGCCCCAGCAGACCTGATTCCGTAGCGTGTGAAAACAGGGATGGAGTCCAGAGCGTCCTTCTCCACCTGTGCATAGAACCTCTGGAGGTGTGCCGGCAGCGCTGGGCAGCTGTGTTGCCCTGGCTCCACTGGGACACGGGTGAATGGAATCCTGAGGTCTGACAGGACCTGTGCAAACACCTCACGCACCCCTGCAATGACACAGTGCGACCACATCAATACTCCCAGCCCACGGGCACAGACAGGACTTCTTCCATATAATGTAGTCATCATCATGGCCAACAATAAAAGCAAACTAGTCATGAAACAATTAGTGCAATGACAGAAAATCATTGGCAACATTTTTGATCACCAAGTAATAGTTTTTAGTCATTTATCAAGCGTCCATTCATCCATCCATCCATCCATTTTCCTCCGCTTATCCGGGGTCGGGTCGCGGTGGCAGCAGGCCAAGCAGGCTGACCCAGACTTCCCTCTCCCCCGCAACATGTTCCAGCTCATTCTGGGGGATCCCGAGGCGTTCCCAGGCCAGCTGGGAGATGTAATCTCTCCAGCGTGTTCTGGTTCTTCCCCGGGGTCTCTTCCCAGTTGGACGTGCCCGGAAAACCTCCAGTGGGAGGTGCCCAGGAGGCATCCTAATTAGATGCCCGAACCACCTCAGCTGACTCCTTTCAACGCGAAGGAGTAGCGGCTCAACTCCAAGTTCCCTCCTGATGTCCGAGCTCTTTACCCTATCTCTAAGGCTGAGCCCGGCCACCCTACGGAGGAAGCTCATTTTGGCCGCTTGTAGCCGCGACCTTGTCCTTTCGGTCACGACCCAGAGTTCGTGACCATAGGTGAGGGTAGGAACATAGACTGACCAGTAAATTGAGAGCTTTGCCTTCCGGCTCAGCTCCCTCTTCACCAAGACGGTCCGGTACAGCGCCTGCTTTACTGCTGCAGCCGCACCGATTCGCCTGTCGATCTCCCGCTCCATCTTACCCTCACTCGTGAACAAGACCCCGAGATACTTGAACTCCTTCGCTTGAGGTAGGCACTCCGTCCCCACCTGGAGGGAGCAATCCACCGGTTTCCGGCAGAGCACCATGGCCTCAGATGTGGAGGTGCTAACTCTCATCCCCGCCGCTTCACACTTGGCTGCAAACCGCCCCAGTGAATGCTGGAGGTCACGATCCGAGGAGGCTGACAGGACCACATCATCTGCAAACAGCAGAGAGGCGATCCCGAGACCCCCGAACCTGACGTTCTCCACCCCCTGGCTGCGCCTAGATATCCTGTCCGTGAAAGTCACGAACAGGACCGGTGAATTTATTGCCGAGAATACGGACACAGCTCCTACTGCAGTCATACAGAGACCGGTCTGTCCACAAAGCACATGTAGACTGGTTGGGCAAACTCCCATAACCCCTCCAGTAGTCTTCCGAGGGTAAAGAGCTGGTCCACTGTTCCACGGCCGGGACGGAATCCGCATTGCTCCTCTTGAATCCGAGGTTTGACAAACGGTCAGAGCCTCCTTTCCAGCACCCTGGCATAAGCCTTCCCCGGGAGGCTGAGTAGTGCGATACCCCGGTAATTCGAGCACACTCTCCGGTCCCCCTTTTGAAGATGGGAAGCACCACCCCGGTCTGCACTGATCCCGACCCCCATGCGACATTGAAGAGACGTGTCAGCCAAGACAGCCAAGACAAGTGTCCAGCGCCTTCAGCATCTCAGGGCAGATCTCATCCACCCCCGGCACCTTGCCACCAAGGAGCTTTTTGACTACCTTAGCGGCCTCCGCCCCAAGTCTTCAGACGCTGCCTCCTCTCCGGAGGACATGTTGGTCGGGTTTAGGAGTTCCTCAAGGTGCCCTTTCCACCGCCCGACGATGTCCCCCATCTGGGTCAGCAGTCCCCCCCCCCGCTGAGAACAGCCTGAGGTAGGCCCTGCTTTCCCTTCCTGAGCCGTCGGATGGTTCGTCCTTGAGGCCAACCGAAAGTCCTTCTCCATGGCCTCCCCGAACTCCTCCCATGCCCGAGTTTTAGCATCCGCGACCACCGCAGCTGCAGCCCTTCTGGCCTGCCGGTACCTCTCAGCTGCTTCAGGAGACCCTGAGCCAACCATGCCCTGAAGGCCTCCTTCTTCAGCTTGACGGCTTCCACCACCGGGTTCTCGGGTTGCCACCACGACAGGCACCGATGGCCTTCCGGCCACAGCTCCTAGTGGCCGTGTCCACAATAGAGGCTTTGAACATGGTCCATTCGGATTCCGTGTCCCCAACCTCCCTCGGGATGTGTGAGAAGTTCCGGAGGTGGGAGTTAAAGACCTCCCGGGCATGGTCCTCCGCCAGTTCACCCTCACTATACATTTGGGCTTGCCGGGTCTTTCCAACCAGTTCCCCCGCCATCTGATCCAACTCACCACCAGGTGGTTATCAGTTGACAGCTCTGCTCCTCTTCACCCGAGTGTCCAAGACATACGGCCGCAGATCAGATGATACGATTACAAAGTCGATCATTGATCTCCGGCCTAAGGTGTTCTGGTACCAGGTACACTTATAACCCACCTTATGTTCGAACATGGTGTTTGTTATGGCCAAACTGTGGCAAGCACAGAAGTCCAATAACGAGACACCACTCGGGTTCAGATCGGGCAAGCCGTTCCTCCAAATCACCCCCCGCCAGGTTTCTCCGTCATTGCCCACGTGAGCGTTGAAGTCCCCCAGGAGAACTATGGAGTTGGCAGGCACTGCCCTTTCCAGGACCCCTCCCACCGACTCCAAGAAGGCCGGATACTCCGAAACTGCTGTTTGGTGCATAAGCACAAACCACAGTCAGAGCCTTGCTCCCCGCAACCCGTAGGCACATGGAGGCGACCCTCTCGTTCTCCGGGGAGAACTCCAACACAGCGGCGCTCAGCCGGGGGCTTTGTGTTCATTTATGACTGGATGCTCGTGGACCTCCCGTGGTTTTTCAAAGCATTCTGGTGCCAGCATGTTTTATACCGCTATCGAATGCTGACTCCTCTTAATGGGCCGGTAGGTCAGCGACTGCTTTAGTTTGGCCTCTTGTTTCCCCTACGGATTAGAAATTGTTCCTGTTTTGATTTCCACGCATTTAAGACAATGAATGTATGGCTGTCACTTAGCGGATGACAAAACGAGCGCTGCCTACAACAGAACGCCTCCATTCATGTCAGGAGGAGCGCAGTGAAAAACACACAGGGTGCTCTTGCGGTCTTGACGGGGGCTTGTTGTGGTTTGTATTCATTCAATAAATTATTTTTCTGACTTTTATTTGGTGCTTTGGTTACTTTTTTAGAAATGTGAAGCTGGTTGAGCCATGCGCCGTACAATAGCAGTTACAGTTGCCGTTTATTTTGTGTTTTTCTCTGCATTACCTGGCAGTACATGGACGTGTTGGTGTCCGTCCATGTGGTGGGGCAGGTGACCTGTCAGTTCCCTGAACAGCCCGACTTGGGCCCTCAACTCGAGCTCCACCTGGGAAGGAAAAAACCCCACACACCTGGAGGTTACTGACATGGAGAGACACGACTTCCTCTTCCTCGCATATTCACATTAGTTAGTTACTAAGTTAGGTACGAGTGGCTTTGCTGAATGAGTTCTTCAACACATGTTGTGACTCTAGATACAGTAAATTAACTGTAAAGCAAGTGACTTTTACTACTGATGACATTAATGTCGCTAGCAGAGATGCAACCCGCCAATGTCATCTGGCTCAAGGCAGTTTGTTTGTCTACCTGCACACGGACCGATGACAAAACGCTTTCTCTTCCAACACAACAAACTGACAACACCGGCACGCCTCTCTCCAACTAGCGCTCACGTTTCCACCGCTGGCTTCAGGTCACATGACACAGTGACGAAGGAAAAGGTTTTATTATTCATGATAAATGGGACTGCACGATAACCAGATGTTTTGATACAGTTTTGCGATTGTTTAAATGTGGCCCCCATTTACTTTCATTCTTTTCTCCTTTCAGTTTATTCTCGGTTCCCCGTGAAGGCCCGAGAGAAACACGGGGCGAGTCATTGATATACAAACGGTCATCACATCATTAGTATTGTGGTATTCCTTCAATATGTGTAGAAAATTAAACGAGTCAATCTGAAATATATATTTATTTCCCTCTTCATATTTTGCCATTTTTAAGGTTAACATTAATATTATTGGTATCGATAACATTTTGGATCTCATCATTTTTCATTTTAATGAAGCATGTCACCCCAGTGAGGTAAGCTTTGTGTTCACCTTCTCCCGCTCTGCTTTCTGTGTCCAGTAGATTTGCGAGTTGGGAGGTTAAATATGAGAGAGATCCAATCTGAACCAACAGATAGGCTTGAGCAGGAGCCACAAACAAGTGTGTGTGTGTGTGACTCTGTGACAGTAACCACCCTCCAGCGTGCGTCATGCTTTGGCAACTCACTGTCAGCAAATAGAGTTTCAACAGTGTGCACTTGATTTTTTTATTCCTACAGTTTGACATCCATGCATGTTACCGGCTCAAACTTTGATGCATATCAAAATAAATGAATAATAATAATTGTTTTCACCGAAATCTTGCTGGAGCATTTGAACATGTAACAGGTCTGGAGGCTCAGACATCATGACTAGATGATCACAAATGATGCTCTGGAGCCGTGTACCTGCTTCATGCTGAGCTGACCTCTCTCCAGGGCCTGACGGAAGCCCATCTTCCCGTGGAAGAAGCCGCGCTGGGTGGTCAGCGTGGAGGCCTGCTGACACACTGGAATGCCCTCAGAGAGGTTGGCGTGGAGGCCGATGGGGATGTTGTGCCTGACACGAAGAGAGAAACTTCTGTCATACCATGTGAGGTTGGCTGAACATTACTGACAAGTTCAAAGGCCCTATGTGTGTTCAACACTTGTAGAGGCTTGTTCTATATATATATATATATATATATATATATATATATATATATATATATAATATTACAGTCATTCAGCAGACGCTTTTATTCAAAGCGACTTACAATTCACATTCTATCCATACACAGTAGGCACAGCTTTGGGGTAAGTGTCTTGCTCAAGGACACATCAGCATGCGACTAGCGGAGCGGCATTAACTGCTTTCAAGTGTATTTGGAGCTGAGCTGAGCCGTCTCCATTCCCCATCACACGAGGGATGTTTGGCCAGTTATGTGAGTGGGAGTAAAGACAAATCCACCACCGAAGAAGCAATGTTCACAGGGCCAGGTACATCTCCACCAGGTGTCTTTTCTCTTTATCTACAGCGTGTCAGGATTTTACCTTTTCGCCAGATCTGCCGCCTCTTTGGCAGCACAGGCGTTAACCAGCAGCGACACGTTGGAAATGCCTCCGGCCTGGAAGCAGTCCACGATCCCCTGGTTCCTCCTCGGGCAGTAGCCGAAATCATCTCCCGTCACCACCAGCATCACCCTGGGCTGTGGCATTACTGCTGCTCTCTGTGGGGGGGGCATCATAAAGCTGTGGCTCGAGACACTGAAGATTATTGAGATGAAACATTTATTTATTTATTCATTTCATCTGGAATGTGTTGAATATATATTTATATGTTTGGTTGTGGCGATCTACAACTTATTTGATCTTATTTATTTTCTATCCAATTAAATTTGTATTTATTATATATTTATCTATATTTATTTTACATTCATTTTTTTCATTTGTTTTTCATTTGAATTATATCTTAAAATCAAGAAAATACACTGTCAAAATAATAAAACATGTTTAATGAATGCATGAGGTCAATGAGTAATTGTGTTAAATAATCGTGATCTCAATATTGACCAGCTAATTATGAGTTTTGCCATAATAAAGCAGCTGACATCCAAAATACACATTGAGGAGTTTATTTTACTACTTTGTCCATTTGCGTCTGAAGATTTCTCCTAAATTCACCAAAAGTTACCATTAGATAAAGCCTCATTTGCATATTTAACAACAACATTTTTACATACAGCAGACTATGTTCTGAAGGCGTGTTCACACATCACCCACAGACTCATTTAAACTACATGTATTAATACAAACATGGAGTAAATGCTTCTTTTCTTTTCATCTCTGGTTTATGGAGCGATACAAAGAGATATCCAACATTCCTTCTGTAAAAACCTTTGACTCTAACTAAATGAAAAAACTATGACGAACCTTCAACCAGTTCTCAGATGTCTATGCAAATGAGCACACACGTCACAATATAATCCGAGTTTGTATGTTCAAGCACAAACAACATGTTGTACTGTAAGTAATCAGCGGGGGAGGTTTCCGGGAGATATCTTTCTGTGAACATTAAGCTTCATGTAAAGTGTGAACCATGTCCACTGTGTCCAGAGACACCCACAGAGCCGGCTCTGTGGAGCCGACAGCAGCCTCTCTGAGGCTCCGGTCACTCACCGTCACAACGAGGACACGACACAAGCCGAGGCTGTCCAGCGGGAGAGAGTCCGCTGTTGAACAGCAGCGTTACCGGGGACACAGCGCACCTCTCCGCGGTCACCACCGAGCCCGGTGCCCTCTCCTCTCTCCGTTTAAACAGACCGGAATCATTGTAGACGACACCGTTTCTATTCGCCGGCTACATCTTCTCTCCGCTTCTCAGCGTCAGCGTGCTGAAGCCCCCCCCCCCCCCCGGCTAGAAGAGCACTGTGATGTGTTCTACCGACTGAAGAACTCTTAATACATCTTACCCATTGTGCTCCACGCGCTTGTCCATACGTGTCCGAGACCACGCAAAACACGGTGGAAATAAACTGTACTTCCGACTCGCGAACCGCATCGGTGTAGTCCGGAGTCCACTTCACCGGATTAGGACGCCCTCTGCTGGAGAAAACATGGCGTCCCACCCAGGGACCAGAACAACTTCAAAATAAGACGCCTTAAATTCACAAGACCACTAAACTGTAAACTGAAGTGTCAAAAATACCCTTTAGTTGAATCATCTCTTACGAATAAGTTTCATAATATATACATATATGTCCCCCTTGGTAATACTATGTTAAAGTGCATATATGTGACATTTGCTCTAAGAAATGCTATTTACCGACAAAGCAATTATATAAATGATTGGTGTTTCGATTATTAACAATCTAAAAATGAAACATAACATTTGACTGAAAACTGTACATTTAATTAAGCTTTTGAAAACTTTTATTTTGAAAACAAAAACCGTAACGGAAGTTTTTTTTGTCCACAGAGGGCACGTCATGCTTGTTATAAATGTATGTTGGTACATACATGTTCATAGTATAATTGATGTCAGTAAGACGCCATACATACATACATAATAGTCAGGAATGGCAAGCGAGGGTCTGTAGCGTGGCAGTAACGTGCACGTGGAGTTATGCTAATAAAGAGCAGTTATTCTGACGTGCTTGTTTATTTAAAAACACGACAATGCTCTTTGTCCAGAAATGTCTTTATAAAAAAAAGAAAAAGCCGAAGTGAAAATACGTTTTACTTTCCATAAATGTCTTCTTTAGGACAACGAAGACATACATGTAACGTTCTACATAAAGCCCGGTCTACGAGTAACCACGTGGTCTTTGTACACTTCGGGATGAAAGCGTTCATATGTCATCACCACCACCATCTCCTTAATCAAATGTAGATTACACACGCACCTTTTATGAACAGCTTCTGAACATGAATCCTCCTCAGCCAGCAGCCTCACTGCACGCAGGGCTCAGTAACGTTTACACACCGTTCACCGTGTAATGACACAGGTGTACAGGTGTGGCTTCCATCAGGCGTTCTCATGGTAGGACTCATGACAAGGCTTTGGTCTAAGGTCACATCTGCTGACAGGGCGTTTTTCTTTCCAGCACTTGAAGGATACAGTTCAGTTGTTACTTTACATAAAGCAGCTGAAATACAAGCTGCTCTTTGGATAAATGTTGAAATAAACAGATTTCCAGTACTTAGTGAAAAAGAGACAC